AAAGAGAGGAACAGATAGAGAGAGAGAAAAAAACTACACCTGACTGGGCGTGCCGTTCACCCATAGTTTAAGGGCTACTTCACAGGTCACCATCTCCCAGCCAGGCATTAAGCTAAACGTCAAGACCATCAGAAAATAAGAATGAATTGACAATTGACTTAAGATATTAGAAAAATGCTTTCACTGTTGTCTTGAATAAACCCATATTTAGATTTTATGTGGAAAACTGATGATGTGACATGCAGAGTTCCTTGACCAGTTTGTCCTTGGATCGTTCAAGTTGAGATGAAGTTCACTTCTTAACCGATGAATCTGCACACAGTGTGGCTAACAGCTAGACGTATTGCGAATCATATTGCGCTCATATACAATTAGGAGCCTCACACCATAGGGTATCAGCCATGTCGATAGTTAGACGAGGGGGAAACAGACGGGTAAAATACCACGAAGTGATGCGACGTTCCTCGCGAGACTCAAGGGGCCACTATCGAATGTTCTTCAATCTTTAGCATGTTTATTAAGCGAAGCGGAATACTCTGTTCTGTAGTTCAACCCCTAACATCAAAGATGCGCCATACCAGATTAAATGAGGATGTATACCATAATAGGCTGGATGTATCTGCCCAGTGTAGAGAGACACAGACAGTTCTCCTACAGTTTAAGGGCCAAGGCCCCGTAGGCTCATCATTCACAGGTCACCATCTCCCAGCCAGGCGATAACCTACACTTAATACAAATACCACCAGCATAAATAAATAAATATAAACAGAACAACTACAATCTATGATAAAAATATACACAAAAGCCACACAAACATAAAGCGAAATCAAATATCTTCAAAATGATTCATCTTACCGATAAATACTATAATCGCTACTATCACAACCACTACTACTACTACTACTACTATATTACTACTACTTCTACTACTACTTCTACTACTACTACTATACTACTACTACTATACTACTACTTCTACTACTACTACTACTACTACTACTACCACCACTACTATCGAAATTAAATATCTTTAGAATGATTCATCTTAAATAATATCGCTACTATCACTACTACTACTGAAACGAAGTAGCCTTTTACATTGTAGGTTTCAACGTCCTAAGAAGAGTCGTATTATATGTCAAACAAGGCCTTTAAATAATATAATCATTCACAGACGACCATCTGCCTACCAGGAACTGAACGCCAAGACCATCAAAAAATGAAAATATCCTTTAAAACATCTTAGTATAAAAAAATACTATGTAAACAACATCGAGTACAAACAAGTCCCAATACCAAAATGTTCATCCTATATAACAAAATCATCCTCTGTGTGTGTGTGTGTGTGTGTGTGTGTGTGTGTGTGAATTACATGCCACATGATAGCAAAAGACTTTCGAAAAATCAACCCAAGGCAATTTCTTTACCCTTGTTTATCTTGAATGTGGGAACATGACAATTACGTTATTGAGTAATCCGCATATTAAATATATCTGCATTACAGTATAGGGTATTGAAATTGCACTTGAGTTGATTTCTCGAAAGTCTTTGCGATCATGTTGTGCTAGTATAATATGATGTTCGACATAACCACATCCAAATAGACCGACAGCCCCTGAAATAAACATTTCCAAGTGGTCTATGAGATCGAAAGCCCACGACAAGGATTAAAAATCGACCCCCCCCCCGAAAAAAAAACATGGAACGGTAGTAAGATATAGGTCTCGTGGGCTATCGGTCTCTCAAACCCTTTGAAATATGGATGTCCCTATCAACAACAAAAATTTCACCACATACGCATAAAATAAATGTTATAACGCATTTTAAATCACTCTACCCCCACAAAAAAGAAGTGGTTTAAGGTTTTGTGCTTAAATTCATTGTTTTGAAAATGAATTGTAAAGGATCTGATAAATTCATCATTGACATGAAAAGGGGATGCAAAAGTTTTAACATTTTGTGAAGAAAGAGATGATCATAAAGTGCAAATACAAAACTAACATGACATACATACTTTAGAAATATATAATATTTACACATAAAAAAATACTTAATACACGGTATATCTGGTGTTCATTGAATCTAGGATACCTATGCTAAGCAATACCAGGAAAGAAATGAAAAAAAAGAGAGGAACAGATAGAGAGAGAGAAAAAAACTACACCTGACTGGGCGTGCCGTTCACCCATAGTTTAAGGGCTACTTCACAGGTCACCATCTCCCAGCCAGGCATTAAGCTAAACGTCAAGACCATCAGAAAATAAGAATGAATTGACAATTGACTTAAGATATTAGAAAAATGCTTTCACTGTTGTCTTGAATAAACCCATATTTAGATTTTATGTGGAAAACTGATGATGTGACATGCAGAGTTCCTTGACCAGTTTGTCCTTGGATCGTTCAAGTTGAGATGAAGTTCACTTCTTAACCGATGAATCTGCACACAGTGTGGCTAACAGCTAGACGTATTGCGAATCATATTGCGCTCATATACAATTAGGAGCCTCACACCATAGGGTATCAGCCATGTCGATAGTTAGACGAGGGGGAAACAGACGGGTAAAATACCACGAAGTGATGCGACGTTCCTCGCGAGACTCAAGGGGCCACTATCGAATGTTCTTCAATCTTTAGCATGTTTATTAAGCGAAGCGGAATACTCTGTTCTGTAGTTCAACCCCTAACATCAAAGATGCGCCATACCAGATTAAATGAGGATGTATACCATAATAGGCTGGATGTATCTGCCCAGTGTAGAGAGACACAGACAGTTACAACGAACGCAACGACTTTCGAAATATCAATTCAAGGAAATTTTCATACCCCATTGTACATCCCATACAAACAAAACTTTCGGATCACAAAATCCGTCATTGTCTTGTTCGCACATAAAGGTGATTGCCAAGGCTATTGAAATTGCCTTAATAGGTTGACTTTTTGAAAGTCTCTGCGACAGTGTTCAGTGTCTTTCAGTCAACGATACATGAAATTATCTGAGACATGGGCGGTGTTTAAGAGATGTTACTCGGATCGGTTTTACTGCTTATACCCTGTAGTAATTCAATTGTCCATGAAAAAGATGAGGATGATTTGGTTTCGTTTCCCGCTAATAATCAATTCATCTGTTTGACAAGCATTGAATATGACACACCAGTTGTTGGCCCAAACTTGAATTATGTTCAAGGTTATCATAACCATTTGAAGAAAAAAAAAATATAAACACACACACACATTTTAACACAACAAAAACAACAATAACACACCGACATTGACATGAGGTCTCGACTTGAAAATAATGGATTACAAAAAATCACACTCCTTAAACTTCGCTCATCAAACAATAAGTAAATGAAAGGCCCGTATTCTGATAGCAGGTTTAAGTTAACCATGGGTTAAATAACTATACTTCAACCTCACTTTGGTCTAAGTGTAGTTTAAGTCACTTTCGTATTCTGTTAACCCCAGATTTAAATCTGGTTTAAAGCATAGATGGGATAAGGTAAGCCTGGCTATCAGAAAACAGCCTAAGGCCATCGAGCCCTTTTACATTCCCCTTGCAATTGGGACTTATAACATTTACAAAGTGAAATTTAAAAAAAAATACGAAATTGGGTCACTTAGCCCATCTAGTTACACCATTGATCTGAAATAGAGCCATATATGGAAATCTGAAACAGGCAGGCAGGTATGATATGATACTGGCAGAATCATAATCATACCACAGATGTGATTGTGCAGATAGCTACATCAACAAATTCGAGAAAAAATTGTATTCTCGGACTTTAAAATCTAATACACTAAACCGGAAATATTAAGAGAGGCTATAAAACTAAATGTAAGTTCAATGGGGCCTACCATTTTGCGGAGAATTGAGAGTTTGAGAAAAGTATAGTGAAATCTAAAGTTGGCAAAGGCAATTTTTGAGGAAAAGGACTAATCTTAAAGACGGAGCTCACCATCCTGGGCTCTTATTTCTGTTAAAGAATTACATGTCGTAACCCTGAAAACTTTACCTTGACGAAAATGAATTGGGCTCTTGAGTTAAAAAATTGGCCTCTTATCATTTTTTTCAAACTCGGCTGAATTATGAACACAGAAACACATGGTCCATAAAAAGTGATGTAGGATTGCCAGATTAGCAATCAATGATAACTGAAGCACAATTAGAAATTTTTAGAAAATTAGAAAATTTCTACGTCGATACTTGACATGATCCATAAGTCAGGATATAACGCCAACGTTACTGGGTTTGCAGGTGGACCACTACACCGGGGTTTCCCCCTACTCTTATACGAATAGTGCAGTCGGTTCTTAACTTGCAAGGGTGGTGACTCTCCTGTACACGAAACCTCAATTTAACGTCCTATCCGAGGGACTGAGTGTCTTCCACTTAACACAGCCTGCGTCTATGAAACAAGGCACGTTAACACACAACACAGGCTTAAGTCATCCGCCTCGGTGGGATTAGATCACGAGATCTTTTTGGTTCGACAGGCAGACGCTTTACCGACTGAGCCAACTCGCCTCCTATTTATACAAAATCTTGAGATATTACCAATTCATAATTCAAGACCATTTCAGAAATTTGATATCTTAATTGTTTCAGCTAGATTATGTAGTGGAGTGTTTGTATTCGTCACGCATTCGCATGATTTAGCTGCAATATTTAATTAAATTTTAAGTTAATTCTATCCATAAAAGTCATACGTGCAAGCAACACATTTTAACGTTATGAATTTGAGAATATCGGCCAAATGCCTAATAGTGTTACATTTCATGAGCATTATGAGCATTATGTAGTATGAAATTTCAACCAGCTGATTTCAATTTGAGCACATGAGCAAATCTTCTTCATCAACACTTAGTCTATTATGATTGAGTTTTGTACTCGGCTTCACCAATTCAAACTAATGTATACATACATAAAATACACACCGTGAGGAGTGACATTTACCTCTCTAGTCAATCAAGATATATAAACAAAAATATGTCAACATTACCATTAAGTTTTTGATCCAGTTAACGCTTGTATAAACTCTCGGGGGACGCATCGATCCTTCTTCCAGTACAGGGCCAATATGGCGCCTCCTTTTTAACGCCATGTTTGATGGTCGCCACTCCGTCGCCACTTCTGTCGCGGCGCGGCGCCACGATCGGTGTGTCCCCATTCATACTGGCCGAACACACTTCTGTCCGTTCGGTCTATTCTCGAATATACGCTGCTCTCTGGAAAGTAATGAGAAAACAACTTAATTTAGAATTCAGTTTATTAAAATAATTATATTTGGAAGGCGTTTAGTCACAAATTTGGCATCAAAATACAGCAAAAACTCTCACAATTTACCTTTCTCAACCCAACTTGTACAGCGGCTTGGGCTTTCTCCCGTCCCGCTTAAACATGGCATTTGCGTGCGCGCGGCGCCACGATCGGTTTGTAGCCGTTTTGGAATGCCATTCATACTGGCCGAACACAGATTGCTCTTCACATCAAATGTATTGTTTTGCTGAAAGGGGATAAAGAATGGGAAACTCGTGTAGGCATTCAAAGAAAGGAGTGATTGAAATCGGCTACGCATATGCATTTGTAATTATACAAATAATACACAAGCAAGCGCGGATCAAGGATTTGTTAGGGGGGTGGCGGCCCAAATTTGAAATTATGCAAACCAAATATTGGTACGTAAAGGTGACACCGGCAGAAGCGAAATAAGCAAAAACGTTTGGAGGGGTAGCAACAACAAAAAATCCGCATCACCCCACTCTTACATGCAAGCCCCGCTGAACGCTTCTCTAAGTAGGGGGGGGGGGGGTGGTAGGCATTTAATTACCATCAGATGAGCATATTTTGATACCTTATTTGTGACAATGGCAGGTCACGAATTGGCGTGGAATCCAGGGGGCGGAGTCCCCGAAAACTCAGAGCTTTTGGGCAATAAATAACGGTCAGATGAGCATATTTTGATACCTTATTTGTGACACTGGCAGGACACAAATTGGTGTGGGGTTTAGGGGGCGGAGCCCCAAGAAGCCCAGGGGCTTTATACATTAAATTATCGTCAGATGAGCATATTTTGATACCTTATTTGTGACACTGGCAGGTCACGAATTGGCGTGGGGTCCAGGGGGCGGAGCCCCGGAAGTTCATTGGTTTTGGGCAATAAATTACGGTCAGATGGGCATATTTTGATACCATATTTGTGACACTGGCAGGTCACAAATTGACGTGGGATCAAGGGGGCGGAGCCTCTGGAGGCTCAGGGGTTTTAGGCAATATATTGCGGTCAGATGGGCACCCAGGGGCCCCCCTTAGGGCCATTGGTTGGGTTGTGGTGGCAGAGCCCCGGAAGCTCAGAGGTTTAGGCAACTAATTACGGTCAGATGAGCATAATGAAACCTTATTTGTGACACTGGCAGGACACTAATTGGCGTGGGGTCCAGGGGACGGAGCCCCCAGTAGCTCAGGGGTTTTAGGCATTTAATTACGGTCAGATGAACATATTTTGATACCTTATTCGTGACAATGACAGAACAAAAATTGGTGTGGGGTCCAGGGGGCGGAGCCCCCAGAATTTCAGAGGTTTTATATATTAAATTACCGTCAGATGAACATATCAATTTTGATACCTTATTTGTGACACTGGAAGGTCATAAATTGGCGTGGGGTCCAGGGGGCGGAGCCCCCGGAGGCTCAGGGGTTTTAGGCAATAGATTGTGGTCAGATGAGCATCTGGCCCCCCCCCCCCCTTAGGGCCATTGGTTGGGTTCTGGGGGCAAGCCCCGGAAGCTCATGGGTTTAGGCATTTAATTACGGTCAGATGAGCATAATGATACCTTATTTGTGACACTGGCGGGTCACTAATTTGCGTGGGGTCCAGGGGCGGAGCCCCCAGAAGCTCAGGTTTTTTTTGTATTTTATAATGGTCAGACAAGCATGCGGGGGTCCGCCTAGGGGCCCCCTGTTAGGGTCGAGTGGGCCGAGCCCTGGAAGCTCAGGGGTTTTAGGCATTTAATTACGGTCAGATGAACATTTTTGATACATTATTTGTGACACTGGCAGGACACTAATTGGAGTGAGGTCCAGGGGTCGGAGACCCCAGAAGCTCAGGGGTTTTAAGCATTGAATTACTATCAGATTAGCATCCAGGGGTCAGCCTTAGGGCCCTAGGTGGGGTCCAGGGGGCAGAGCCACCGAAAGTCAAGGGGTTTTAGGCATTTAATCACGATCAGATGAGCATATTTTGATACCTTATTTGTGTCACTGGCAGGTCACTAATTGGTGTGGGGTCCAGGGGGCGGGGAACCCAGAAGCTCAGAGGTTTTAGGCAATAAATTACCTTCAGATGAGCATCCAGGTGCCCGTCTTAGGGCCCTAGTTAGAATCCAAAGGGCAGAGCCCCCGACAGCTCAGGGGTTTTAGGCATTTAATCACGGTTAGATGAGCACATTTTGACACCTCCTTATTTTGTGACAAAGGCAGGTCACTATTCTTTCTTTCTTTCTTTAGGAATTTGCTATTTTCCAACGAACGCATAAAAAAAGTATAATTTACTAAAGATTGAAGAAAAAATCTCAGAAAATTATGTCATTTCAACAACATTTGTAAATCACCGGTATCGAATAAGAGATAAATCACGTTTGAATTGTATTTAAGGGGCGTCTGTCACCTTCCAAGATCCCCCCTCCCTCATCAGTACGCCAGTGCCCCCCCCCCCGCGATCTACACCTTGTTGGCGGAAAAAAAACGCAACTGATCTCCCCTACCTTTCTTCTTTCTCATTTTTTTCTTTCCCTTTCTCTACTATTTTCTTTTCCCTTCCCTTCCTTCTCTCTGTTTTAGGTTTGCTGGCGGGAGGCAAGGGCCTTTCGCCCCCCCCCCCCTCCGATCCACACGTTGTTGGCGGGATTAATTGCAACTGATATCCCCTTCTTTCTCTTTTTCCTTCCCTTTATCTCCTCTTTTCCTTTGTTCTTTCCCTTTCCTTCGTTCTCTCTTATTTTTGGATGGGGGTGGGGGGGGGGGTGGGAGAGCTGACAGCCTGGAGGCAAGGCCCTTTTGCCCCCCCCCCCTCGATCTCCTTCTTTCATCCCTTTTCCTTTCTTCTTCCTCTTCCTTCTTTCCCTTTCTATTCTCTTTTCCTTTTCCTTCTTTTCCTTCTCTCTCTCTCTCTCTCTCTCTCTCTTTTTTTTTGCGGGGGGGGGGGGGCAAGGTCCGCTCGGCTCCTGGATCCGCGCCTGTACACAAGGTACATTTGGAACAGTCTAACACGCCCGAGGAGAAAACCGAGGGTGTTTGGACTGTTTCGAAGGTACCGAGTGTGGGTAATTTTATTAATGCCCGAACATAATGATGGGTATTATTGTTTTATAAATTTCATTTATTTTCACCTTCATATAAAAACAATAGATCATTACAACAATATACATTATATAAAAAATACATGCAATCATACAAGTTAACAGTATCAAAAGACACCAACATTTACTAGACGAAAATGAGAAAAGGGGAACTAAAATAAGGCCAAAGGGCCTTGTAAAATAAGTTCCCTAAAAGTATAAATTATCATTTGGTTTTTCAACTTATTCTGTTACTGAAAGACATGTAAACAAATTAAAAACAAACAGTGAAGATATAAGATGATGTTTTATTTGTTTTGTCAAATTGATGTGTTATAACATGATTTTACTAATGACCGGTCATTAGTAAAATTAGGTGTTAGGCAAAAAAGATGCCTGGTCAACCAATTATTTGATTAGGATCCGCTTCATCATCGTATAAAGTTTGATAACGAGATATAAAAATGGAAAGTTGCGATTTGTTATCATATATTTAATTCGTGTTGAGGTAATGTAACTTCAATATCTTGAAATTTTATGTTAAATCATATATAATTATCATTATTTTATTGCTTTTTGTGCATTGAATGAACAATAAAATATCTTTCAAAACAAACCGAAATATGCTAGAAATTTTCTAAAATTTTCTGAAGACAATAAAAGTTGATGTATTATGTGATTACGATGCACATTTTCGATAAACAAATCTGGAAAGAGAAAAAAAAGAGCCTAAAAAAAGATTGCGATATATATATATATATATATATATTGCTTTGTGTAGAAATACCGCGAGGGAGCGAAGCAACAGAGTGGCGTTTATGTAAGGGGTGAATTTAAGAATTCATAATTTAAGAATGCAAGAAAACCAAATATGTGAATTTCGCTCTCGTGTGCCTCTGTTTCCTTTTGGACATGAAAGCTACCTGGAAAATGTGCGAACCCTTTTATATTTTAATCTTTCTTTGCTTTTCAGAGACTATCCTGACTTGTGATCCCCTGGCGGAAAATCCTAGATTTGCCACTAGATGAGGAGATGATTTCAGCGATCTTTCAGTGTAACGCGAATTGCATTTTATGTATACATGTTTATATACAATTTTCTAGATCGTGTGACGACGCGTGACTCCTTTTTGCTCCAATTTGAATGTTGTGTTTATCTGAAATATCTATTAAAATCCTCATTTTGCGCTTCGTACAAGTTGAAAAAAAATCGACGAAACGGCTAGAATAGCAAAATTACTATTATTTTTCCGATTTAACTGCATTCTGTGCTGTTCATTGAATTTGTAAGTTTTCTTTCGATTAATATTATACAGTATTTCCTAATAAATATGAAGGACTATAGGGAGGGATACTCAATTTTACTCCATTTTACTCCATTCTACTTCGTTCTACTCCATTCCACTTGAACCATACACAAATCACAATACATTATATCGTAATGTCTATATTCATGTTTCTTTCCTGCTCTCTTTCTCTCTCTCTCTTTTTCTCTTTCTCTTTCTCTTTCTCTTTCTTCCTCACTCTCTCATATTCTCGGTAATCAAAGTCCAGGATGTATGTCAAATAGAAAGTTTGCAGAAAAGAAAAGAAAAAGAAGGACGAACTGTTGTTTTCACCTCTGCATCGTTCTGTATGAGTTGTTGCTACGTTGGAAAAGTTTCTGAAATGCATTACAATCGTCTTTAGTAATTATTGTTGTAGGGAAAAAATTAAATGCATTAAGTTTGCTTACGTTTGCATAAATTGATCTATTCTAATACCTGGATGCGACATGACTTTGCAAATGCGCTTGAAAGACATGTGTAATCTTTTCACAATATCCCATTTTCATAATCTATCCAAATCTAATGCATATGTCTATAGCCATGTTCAGACGGGGCTTCCTAGTCGGCGTAAGTTAATCCCTGCAGCAATAAATATTCCATACACAGTAAAAACGCTGTTTAAAAAAGTGATGTTCACTTACAGTTGTACACTATCTTAAACAACAGTTGAACAAATTGTAAACAATGTTGCTCGAAACGAAAGTAATTTTGTTAAACATTCGTTGTTTAAAATTTAATG